ATGCCCAGGCCTAGTTAAGCCCAGGTTAGTGAAACTACGAATGATTATTCTTTTTGCTCAATAAAATTATTTTCCGAACCTCTTTTCTAACTTTTTTTTTTCAACTTCTTCATTTCATAGAAATGAAAAGGGTCCAAAGACCATTACAAGTTTCTAACTTTTCCCTTTTTTCTAACCTATTTATATCTTTCGGTTTTATGTTCTCTAGAAATATTGCTTGGTGGAAAAAGTAAAGGTAAACAAAATATGACAATAACATGTTCAAAATAGATTAATTAATTTTCAGTTTGTTGGAATATGTGTCATTTGTTGTCGTGCAGATAGTTCAAAATGAGAAAATAGAATCTCACCTAAGGGACACATCAAAAACCCCTACAAAACTTGAAAGCATCACAAGAAGAAAAGAAAAGTAGGTTTCCTTATGCTTTATTTATGTGTTTATAATTTTATAGAAATATGGTGACATTTTTTTTTGCTTTCACATAAAAATATATAGGCTATTGTTTTTATAATTCTTATTTGTAGATACTGTTAGAATTACAATAGTTGATCAATATAGCATTGGAAATAAAGAAATGTAAAGGCATACCACATAAACAATATATAAGTATGCATAAAAGAGAAATGCAAAAGACATTTCATTAACGTCAAGTATCTAGAAAAGTAGGGTTGATATTTTATTATACAAGAGATATTCTTTCCCTTAATTTGTTATTTCATATATAATGATTTTTTTGGTTTTGGTAAAAAGAATTCATAAATATTGGTCATCTTGTGTCTATATTAATGGAATGTTGTAAGATATAAGTATTAATAAATATATAACTTTCACAATAATATATTTTCCATTTGTAAATTATATACTTTTGAAAATAACATTTTTCTTTTCAAAATTATAATACAAACCAATGCATAAGTGTTTATTCTACAGTTAAATCGAAAAATAAATATAAAACGAAAATAATGCAAAACTGTTATAGTAGTGTCCACCTTTTTAGCCACGATCTCAACTCCATATTATAAACTTCTACAAACACTTTAATTTATTCCACAAAATTAAACAACCAATGATTTCATTTTTTTCTAATAGTGATTTTAAATGTTTTGATGGCTTTGGAATATAACTCGGTATCCATTGGTTTCTGGTGCGGACAAGTTCATCTGCAGATGATTGAGTGATAAAATATTACTCTCAACATTAAATTATTTTTTCGTTATGCCATTATGAATTTCTTTTATAGTTTTCTTTATACATTAAACAACATTTCGCCCATCTACATTCCAGATTAGATTCAAAGAAGTGTTGGATGACAAGATATGATTTCAGAAAAATTGGGAAAAGGATGAAAAAATAAGAAGAGACTTCAACTCACAAAAACATTATTTGTTTAGGCCAAGATAAGAGTTATGTTCTAGATTAAAGTCATCAAGAGTTTATGAAGAGTAGAAGAGAAGACCTCCAACCCACATGCTGCTCATATTTTGATTAAAGGTTAGATGCAAATGCAAACCCTTACCAATAAATTTTCATTTCCTTTTTTTCTCTAAGACTATCAAATAATACTGAAAACATTTTAATAATTTGTCAATTATTAAAATGTTATATTTTTATCAAAAAAATCCATCTATTTTGTTAAAATTTAATTTCATGATAAATAAATATTGATTTTATGGCTACATTCTTAAGTTGAACTAAATTAAAAAAGGTTTATTATCAATTTATAGATAAACATTCAAAAATTAAAAGTAATTACATGCGTAGCATGGGTGGCCATACTAGTAAAATAAAAACGCTCTAGAGACTCTTTTTGCAGAGAAAGCGATGGAGAAGATGATCCCTGTGTTCACGGTGCTAAGAAAGGGAGCGATTCTCATGATCGAAATCTTGACCAACAGTCACAGCGAGGAAGAACAGATTCTGGAGGTCGGTCGACATCCAATGTGCGACATTCCGCTGACGCACCGTAGCATTAGCAGTCACCACTTGAAGATACGATCTCTTCCCTCTCGTCAGAAACTATTCGTGACCGATCTATCCTCTCGTACGAAATCAGATTTTGATTGTATTCTTTTCGAATTTCTCTTGTTTATATATATATATATATATATATATATATTTGGAATCTATGCGTTTTGGTTTAGGGCATGGGACATGGGTTAGGGATCAGAAAGTTAAGCCAGGTGCGTGTGTTGAGGTGAAGGAAGGTGATGTCATTAGGATCGGGTGTTCAACAAGGCAATATAGACTGAACTGGGTACCCGTTAGCCTTGCATACGCCGAGAACAATCTACTTCTGCATACAATGATTGAAGCACACAATCAAGAGGAGGTTATTTATTATATATGTGTTTGCTTAGGCTGCACTCTACTTGTATCATATGTTTTTTTTTTTGCTTAGCCTGAATGAATATGCCTTCACTGCAGACACAAGAAGATGATATAGACGGACATCTGGACGTGACTTCTCAAGAAAGTGGAAAATCATCAAGTGGGGATGAGGATACATATTGGGACCTTTCATTGTCACTTCCCAGAGATCATGTAGTAATAATATCTAGGAGAATTCGTTCTTCTTCCTTTGTAATTATTTTAATTGTCCCTGGATCTTATAATAATAACCATCTGCTGCTGTGTTTTGTAGTACCTTTCTGAAGGAGGGAACAAGAAGATGAAATGGACCATTGTGTTGGATACTTCTTCTCTCCTTGACAAGGAGTCTATGCAGCCACTTCACTTGCTGCGAGGTCTCAAAGGGACACGTCTGGTCATACCACGAACAGTGTTAAGGGAACTAACTGAGACTAAGCGCACTTGGAGTCTTCCCTTTAGAGGAAGAGCAGAGATTGCTTCCTCAGCTCTGGATTGGATCCAAGAGTGTATAGCTGATACCAAATGGTGGATTCAGCTCCAAAGCCTATCAGAGGAAACCAAAGTCACTCCTCAGCCAAATGGTCTTACATCAGATGATCAAGTTCTCCAATGTGCACTTCTTTACCGAAACAGTAGCATCTCTGAAAAACTCGTTCTTCTTAGCAACAATGCAACTCTCAAGATCAAAGCTATGGCAGAGGTAAAATCTGATTCTGTATTCACTGTTTTTTAAAAAAAAAATTAAAAGAAAAACAGAGTATTGTTTGACAAAAACGTATACAGGATGTGATTTGCGAGATGCCGCATGAGTTCTACGAGAGTCTGAAAAATCCGTCGTCGGAGAGGTTTATGTGGCCAGAGAGCTTGCCGAGAGGAAGGTCTTGGAATCATGCTGATGACGTGGTGGTGGGGGAAAGGTACAGAAACCCAAGGAAGAAGAAGCCAACGTTCAATGGAGAGAGTGGTGCAGCAAAAGGCCTGAAGCTCATTATTGCTCCATAACTCTCGCGATGGCCACGTGATACATCGTCATTATGCATCATCATAATGACAATTTTCATATTACTTTTTGATTGTGGAATTGCATTTGCCTTCCTATTATGATAACACCGATCATTTCAGTGCGAGAGATACATTGCGGGTGTTTTCTGTTTTTCTTCTCGGGTGGGTGTCTTAATATACCCCTTTGATTCCAACCCCATGTAAACAGCTGAGAAAACCATTGAAGACATTATTAGTTTCTGCTTCAAAAAGTGTATTCTCAGATAAGAAAAGCTAAAAGCTTTAAAAGAAGATCAAAGTTAAAAAAGCATTTAAACATATCCAGGCAAACATAGATCAAACTGGTAGCACAAGAACCCAAAACCAAAAAACATACACTACTCAATGGGAACAGAACCAGGGTCTTGATGATCTGTTTAAGAACAACTCAAACATCAATCATCGTTTGTATTTATATTCCCATGTTTTCACAGCCATTACTTAAAGAGTTCAGCGGCAAAGGTTGCATTGAGTTTGAGCCATTCAGGCCTCTTAGATAAAACTCATTGCTTTGGTAACTCACAACATCCCAAGCAGTTGCGTTCCTAACTTGAGAATGTTGAACTGCTCAAGCTAGGCATACCCGTGATGCATTTTCCCATACAAAAAGTAACATTCAAAGTCTCATACTGACTTCAGATAGTTCCTACCTTCCAGTACCAAAGCAGTAACTGGATCATTCACATCTTGTCTTTGTCCCTAGCCATTTCTCTCCAAGGAATTTCCAAAGAATTTCTCTAGTCCCCATCCAATTGGTTCACCAGGTAGTGAAAGAACTCACTACTTTCGAGCTCCCATTGTAAAAGCATGTCTTACTCGTTGGACATTTCCTAACTTTTTTTTTTCTTTCTTAAATGAACATTTTTAAACTGGTAGAGTGGTTATTGAACTTTATCAATAACGTACCTATGGTAATTTGTAACACTGTTTCCGAGGTTGTTGGTGTGTTTAAGAGGATCAACTATGTTGAGATGTTTGATAGGGAAGCTCAAGACAATTTGTTTCAACAGATTTGGTTCGAGTAGAATATAACTCTACAGTCTGTTGAAAACTTCTCGTCAAATTTTAGGATCTTAAAATAATAAAGAAATGTTAATATAATGAGTTACGATCATGTGCATCCACTCTCAGAACACCTTAAAACCAGCCGGCGCTTGTCAGGATCAGGACCAATGTGCCTTGGACCCATAGTATGTTATCAAGATGCTGATATTGGCTAAGGAAGAGGCACCACACCAGCATGGGTTCGGAGAAAGCTTCACAGCATAATGATCGAAGAGAGAGTTCCAAGCAGCCACCAAGAGAAACCAGTAGGGAAATTCTTAACCAGAATTAACTTACATTGTGATAAGAAACTTGCACACCCTCCACCCTACTTGATAAACTTTTTCTTATGTAAACTGAAAGGAATATTGGATAGAATATGTCAATTGAAAGGAAATTATCGAAGTCAAAAATAAACTGATATATAGTGTCAAAAGCATTCAAAATTATCTTTAACCAAATGCCAAAAACATCTTCAAAAACTCTAGACAAGACTAAAACTAGAAAATATAAAGAGTTTTTGATAGGCAGCTTTTTGGATTCTTTAGGCACGAGGAGCAGCTGGAGCACCACCAGCAGGGCGAGGGGCCTGACCAGGCTGTCCAGGCTTGGGAGCATCCTCCTAAAAGGTTTATCATTTCCAGAAAAATTTAGTTAAAAACGGCCAACATAGAAGAGGTTCAACAATGCAAGCATATACAAATGTAAAGCCTTTGAAACAAGGTCAAGAACATCTTGAAGCAACAGTAGCAATAAGATAGTGAAGAGCTTCACATTTTCTAATCAACTTATCAAAAAGAACCTAACTAACTATACAGCAGATGCAACTAAGAATTCTACTTTCTAACCATAACAAAGAGCTAAAAAACTGACTCATTTGTATCTAAACAATGATAAAGCAGAACTGGTTACCTAAGGCATAAAATGATAATACAAAATCACAGGCAAGAAACACAGTATCGAGTGATTACCTTGCGTCTAACAAAACGGGGAGGAGGGGTACGAACCCTACGGTTGGTGCGAGATCGAACTCTAACGACGTGAGAATGGATAGCACATGAAACACAGTACTGCGTCTTAGCGTACAGCTTTGGAAGAGTGTAACCTACGAATCACAAACCAAACCAGTTACAAATTTTCAATGACCCCATGTAACACACACGAGTTCAAAATGAGAATCATTCAAATAACATACCATCGTAAACACTAGCTTCTTGAACATCTCTAATAGCAGCTTGCTCAACGATGTTCCTGACGATGAATCTCTTAATCGCCTTATCCTATTACAACAAAGGAATCGAATATCAGATCAAACGTTCAGACAAAACTAGCTTCGGACAATGAATCAAAGAGGACATCGAACACAAACCTTGGGACAGCATTTCCCGCAGTTAGAACACCTAATTGGTTTCACGTGACCACGGTTGTGCTTGTTCCTACCACCGTTCCTACGCTTGAAAGTCTGAAACAAACAAAACCACCGATTCAATTCACAAGCTTTGATACTACGCTTTTAAACGATTCAAAGACAAGAAGACTCGCCATGTTGCAGCAAAGAGTTTCTCAAGCTTGTTGCGTTCTTCTCCTCTTCTTAGCGGCGACACTGTAAGACTGAATTAAAACCGAAAATCTAAATCTTAATATATCAAGGCTTTAGGGTTTATTAATATGGATTCACTAATATTTGGGCCTTAAATAAAGCCCAGTCCATTATATAACAGTCCAGCACGGAATCTGACGTGGAACATCCAAAGGTTACGATTAGTAGCTGACGTGGACGACACGTGTTCCCGCAATGAAAACGCCGAACTAGCGCGTGCCGGCTTAAGCCATGCACACAGCTCCACGTTCTCCTTACTCATTATTGAGTTCTCTTAATCACAGCCGTTCAATTTAAATCAACGGTGACAATGAGATCATCATCGTGTAACAGAATCCAGGGAAGTATGATGAATAAAATCACAACCGTCCGATCAGAACAACTTGTGGAGAAAGAAGAATTAGTTATATAATAATTAACCCATCATTACGTTCGGTTTGCGTGTTGGGCTGAGTCAGTATAAACCATAGGCGATTGATTGATTCTATAAAAGAAACAAGAAACCATAACGTGAAGCAACCTCCGCCGTCGATCTCTTCTCTTTCTCTCCGATTCTCTCTGCATTGTATTGTAGCAGATGGCGAGTATTCGTTGCGGAGGAGGAGGAGGAAGGGCGTTCACCGTTCGTAATGATCGGCGAACTGTAACCGCTCGATCGCCGTCTGTGATTCCGGTGACTAACCGACGGAATCGGACGGAGAACGGGAGAGTTTCGATGACGATGAGGGCGGATTATGCACCGGTGAAGGCTGAAAGGAAACGCGGCGGATCCGTCGTGTCGCGGGAGAAGCTGGACGAGTGGTTGAGGGATTCGGTCGTCGAGATCGTTAAGAATCTGAGAGATTCGTCGTTGATGGTGAACTTATACGCGGAAGGAAACGGAGGATTGACGACGGCGGTTACGAATCCGGCGGCGGAGGATTGGGAGGAGATGGAAGGGAGGTGGGGGAGAGGAGAAGAGAGGACGCCGGAGGGAGTTGTGTTGGTGGAGAAGCTGGATGATGATGAAGTAGATGATTACGATGGAGGAGGCGCGTGTGGGGAAGGTGGAACGAGCGCGTGGGGGATAGTGGCGCAGGGGAGGGGAACGGATAGTGGACCGGTTTGTTACTTGTTGAAAACGACCCGGGTTGGGTCGGGTGTGGGTGCGGTTTGCACACATTTCTGTTTGGTGAAGGTGAAGAGTTTTAGGGAGACGGCTGTGTCGCAGTTGAATAACTCGTGGCTGGTGCAGACTGGTCAATGACGGAAGATTTGGTTTAATGGTGATTGTGGTTTGTAAATTATTTATTCTCTTTGGGTTTGAAATTATGAAACCCTTAATGGAATATCAAAGATTCAAAATATCATCGTTATATATACATGATAATCTTCCAACATTTTAGAAATATGGGTTAGTGAATGTAAATGTTTAATCCTATAAGAACAATTGATATTTTGTTACAAGACAATTTCTTTGGAAAATAGACATTCCATAAAACTTACAATACGCAAAACAGTGGATTGATTGGATTTGAATCCTCAGTAATAGAGCACAAACCTCAGATTCTCGATCAACAGTTACAAGCTTTATACAAAGGCTAATGCTAGTGGCTTTCATTTTCTGCATATATCCGAACTCTTGCCTTGACTGCGTAATGTGAACGGAAGTATACATTTTGCAAACTGATTAAAGCGATCAGCGGTCACCACCTTGAGGTTTACATTTTAACAACCTGAGAAAACGAATTCGTTACATTTTGCAAAGATGATTTACCGGAGAGAATGAGATGAGAGTGTCTATTGTCTAGGACCAGCCGCTAAAAGATTTAGAAAATGAATCATATTTTGCAGTTACCAAGTTTTCATAATCCATGGTGATGGGTAGATAGATAGGATAGGTCCAGATTTCTCCCATTAGACGCCTATTCTAGAAGATTATGCTAATGGGCTCGGCTGATTATTCAAGCCTATAAGTGAAACAAGGCTTTGCAAATCACAAAAGCTATTGTGAAACCAATCTTATGTCACGTGTCTCAAGACTCGCAATAGATCTGTGAAACAATGTTTTGGCTATGATCACTTCGGTCCAAATGTCTGTCTTGTGTAATTTTTAGTTTCTTTTTGGTCAAACCTGTCTTGTGTAATATATGATCATTTTAACATCTGAGAAAAGAGCAAAATAAGAGCAAATGAGCAATCGGTTTATCAAAATAATATAATGTGTGTCATGCCACTATTATATAGGATGCAATTAACCTATGTATGATAAAACTAGTTGTCAAGTTCATAAACTAATAAAGAAAAGAAAAAAGGATTACCTACCTTTAGGGTTACCTCTTATCACAAAAAGGATGAGTGCTAATGATTATCTACCTTTGGTTGAGAAAATCCGTAAAAGAATGAGTTCCTAGACTGGTAGACTTCTATCTCATATAGGAAGGCTTCAGCTTATTCGATTTGTCATCATGAGTCTTGCTAATTTCTGGATGGCGGCTTTCCGGTTACCAGGGAGTTGTTTGAAAGAGATTAAAAGCCTTTATTCTGTTTTTCTTTGGTCAGGTCCGGATTTAAAAACAACAAAAGCAAAAGTCGCGTGGAAGGATGTGTGTTTACCAAAGGTTGAAGGTGGTTTGGGGCTAAGGCCTTTAAAGGAAATAAATATTGTCTATTGTCTCAAGCTCATATGGCGGATTTCTTCGGAGTCTTCATTATGGGTAAGATGGATCCATTGTTATTTGATAAGAAAAAGTTCTTTCTGGTCGATAAAAGATTGCTCAATCTGGATTTTGGGTTTGGAGAAAATTACTCAAATTCAGGCATCTTGCTAAATAGTTTCTTAGGAAGAAGGTTATAAATGGTAAGACGACTTCTTTCTGGTATGACATTTGATCCTGGTTTGGTATTCTTAAGGAGACTTTAGGTGGAAGAGGACTGTTTGATCTTGGTCTCCCAGAAAATGCAACTGTTAATGATGCTTTACATAAAAGAAGAAGGCGAGATCATAGAGTTGATCTATTAAATGAGGTGGAAGAGGAGTTAAAGAAGTTGAAATATTCTTGTGATGAGGATATTGTTCTTTGGAAACATGATGATGGTAAATATATGAGGAAATTCTCAACTAAGAGCACTTGGGAACAATTACGAGATTCTAAACAGGTTTGTCAATGGAGTAAAGGAATCTGGTTTCCTCAGTCAACTCCTAAATACTCTTTTATAATGTGGATAATCTTGCGTGGAAGGCTTCAAGCTGCTGATAAAATGCAGCAATGGAATTCCTCTATTGATACAACTTGTGTTCTCTGTAATGAGGAGTGTGAGACGAGCTCCCATCTCTTTTTTGGCTGCCATTTCTCTGGGTAGATATGGAAGAATCTTGTTGAAGGGCTTATGAAGGATGCTTTTACTGTTGTTTGGAGCGAGCTGATTGTTATTGCCTCAAAGTCTTGGCTTAATCCGATAAAGACTTATTTGTTGAGATATACTTTGCAAGTGGTATTGCACACTATTTGGTGGGAGAGGAATTCTCGTAGACATGGGGAAAAGCCTAGAGACATTAGTGAGTTAACAAAGCTGGTGGATAAGAATGTTAGACTCAAGTTTTTGTCTGTTGGAGGAGAAGGTAAGTATGAAGAGGGACTGATAACATTGTTCGGGACGAGACAGTAGCTGATAGTTTATTCTTGGTTTTTGAATTTTGTGTCTGTAATAGAAGGACACACATGGGCAATGGTTATGCTTAACACTCCCTTGATCTTAGTATTTTTACTTTTTTCCTTATCAAAGATTTGTCCCATTTGGATTTACTTTGATAAGGTTTTAATGAGAAAAATACTATGATCCTTCTAAAAATTTGACTTGTTTTACATGATCAAATTTGAGGGGGAGTGTTTGAGTTGTGAGTTTCTTGAATTTTGTTTTTTTAGCATAATTGTTGTCCTTTGTGATGTTTTGTTTCTGGAGTTTCTTTCTCTTTTGATGTAGCACTTGTTACAACAATGTTTTGATTGAATAAATTTTACATTCGTTCAAAAAAAAAAAAATAATAATATCAAGACTATAGTACATAAGTTCATGCTTGATATTACTCTGTAATGATGACTTGGGTATATCATTATTTCAATCAACAAAGACAACAAAAAAAGCTGGACTTAGAAGTTAGAGATGCAACTCACAACTTCGAGGGGCTATGCAAGTAACATATCAGCCACAGATCAGGAATTAAAGTTCTATACATCGAACGATCTCATATTTTAAAATTGAAAAATTAGAATCGTGGGGACGTCGTATCCAAGATTCTGATTCAGATTTGTGATCCATTAAAGAAAATGATTAGAAAATTGCATCTTCATTATTTCCACGATTAGAAAATCCATTCAAATGGAAATAAAAATTAATATTTAGATTTTGTTTATCATCGTACAAGATCCCCTAAGCACTGTCACTGAACATATCCACCAAGTTTCTTACTAGTTTCCAGAGAATCAATACCAAGACCAAACACACACACAACTTGTTTCTTAATATATAAGCAAGATAAAATCATATCAAATCAGCTCTTGATATTTCGTTATCTCATATATCCATATATAAATTAAAAATATTATATTACAATATATTATATATTCTTCATACATTCATATTCAAGTCTTTTCGATTTGTCAATTGTCTCTTTCTTCTTCATCGGTACGTTTGCCTATTTTTTTTTTCTTTAGATTTCTCAGTTGCTTCACTGCACATAGTATCAATGGAGGAAGAGCTTCATGTTTTAGCAGTAGATGACAATCTCATTGACCGTAAACTCGTAGAGAGAATCCTCAAGATCTCTTCTTGCAAAGGCAAAATATATCACTCACATCTCTAATCTTTCTTTTTTTTCCTTTTAAAATTCAAGAACCAAGATTACCTCTGAAATGTGATAATTGATACTTTTTTTTTTTATGCAGTGACAACAGCAGAAAATGGGCTTAGAGCATTGGAGTACTTAGGCTTGGGAGATCCACAACCGACTGATTCATTAAGTACCAACAGTGTAAGCTTAATCTTTCAAGTTATTTAATCCTCAGAGAATTAACATTTTGGTTGGTTTAGAGTGGATGCAGTTGTGTAAATGCAATGATCCTTGTGTTACATTTTGGGTTTCTTTTACAGGTTATGAAGGTGAATCTTATCATCACTGATTACTGTATGCCAGGGATGACAGGTTTTGAGCTTCTCAAGATAGTAAAGGTGTTTAACATTTTTTTTCTATTGTGAACCAAGAGTCTTCTTGAGAAAATTGAGAGATCACTAACAATTTTTTTGGTTTCTCTGGTTTCTTTTTGGTTATTGACAGCAGGAATCATCGAATCTTAAGGAAGTACCTGTTGTGATATTGTCATCAGAGAACATTCCTACTCGCATCAACAAGTAAACTTTTTTTTTTTTTATGATGAGATCTTGCTTTTTCTTTATCGACTCGGTGGTGAATTGAGATTATATTATTTTCTTGGTGATATCTGCAGATGTTTAGCCAGCGGGGCTCAAATGTTTATGCAGAAGCCCCTCAAACTATCGGATGTCGAAAAACTCAAGGGTCATGTCTTAAACTACAGGAGCTGAAGATCTGCTTAATCTCAAAAGCTCATAGAATTCTTGTTGATTTTTTTAATATATGAGAAAATTTTAAAGATTGTGTTCCAAAACAATGACAAAGACCGTCTTGGTTATCTCAAAACAATTTCTGTTCTTTTCTATATTTGTGAAAAATCAAAAAAATAAAAAGGAAACAATAAGGATTTCTCTGAGTTAATTATTTTGGAATTATAAATGTTGTCAGATTATGAGGAAGCTTAGACCACAAGAAGCATCTGGAATTCAACTAAGCAACAACATAGTCTTAATTCAAGATAAATTTTTTTACCAAATAAACAAATTGGAACATAATAACTTTACACGCTTGGATTTGAATTTTCAATTAGGTTTTATGTCTGCAATTTGTACATAACAAATTAAAAATATTGGTCGTATAGTGATATATTTTTTTTTCTTTTTATCACGATACTGAAATTTCTTTATTACAGATTATATATTACATTCGAACAGGTTGAAGTCAGGTAGTAACATGATGGAGACATTAATAGAATCCATCAGACTACATAAAGATAATATAAAATCAAAAGATATAAAGATAGATAAATCGGACTTTAGCCTAAAACAATCCACGAAATATTCTAAGTGTCTTGCCGCTAAATTTCTTCTTGTGATCACCACTGTGACCTCTATGATACGCCTTCCTAATCTCCAAACTCTGAACCAAGTCCTCAGGGATCCATGGATATCTATATTATGATCCTTCGCCATTAATTTGTCTGCGACATCGGTTGGAGAAATCTTTGTTTCCTTCAAAAAGACTCAATTTCAAGAAACAGAAAATGAGAATTAAGATCCAAATAGTTATTGGCAAGAACCTTGAACCCTCGAAACTACTATAAGACAATTCAATGTGTTTATCCATTTTTCCTCTCTTCTAATCAAAACCGGGTCTAGTTTCTCCATTTGATTCGTATTACAACGATAATCCTCTCTTGCCCACACAATAACCATATTCCATCTATTTAAGAGTCTAGAGAGTGTGATCTATTGGAGCAGAAGTTAACATATAAATTCTTCAAAAGACCCAATCCCTCTATTCACAGAGTAAGGCACGTCAAGTGTGCCATAGATAGAAAGAGTAGTTGAAACGAGTGAAGAGTATAAAAAACAAGCCAAGACCAACATTTTATACACTTTTCACTTACTCATTTGATACCAAAAATATAATTTTCAAGTTGTATTTTTTTAGATCGTTTGTATATTTTTCACATTAGTTGTCAGTAATTTAAGTCCAGTTCAAGTATACTATCTTAGAAAATTATTTATAGAAATCATTTCCTATTGCTTCCCTAAACCGAACTCTTATTCCATTAAAATTATGATTGTGTGTTTTAGCTCCCACATGACCCTACTCTGATTTTGATATTATTTGCCTCGCTCTCCATCTTTCTTGCTGAACAAGTCTCTATCTGATTTCCTTCTCTTACCCGTTTACTCTACCGAACAAATGATGTCTTTATTCACAATAATCGATTTGCTTGATGTTGCGAACTCGCGGTGAGAAGTTTCCTCAAATTTTTCGTTATAATCTTTAAGGGCCAATCTTTAATGTGTCCAAGGCACATTACTTTTGATCACGTACGTAACTATTGTTATTTTAAAATTTTATTCCAACATCGAATCCCAAATCTATGGCGACACTTCCAAGAATTCCTTTTTTAACGTTGAAAAAATGAAACACATATACAGTATGTTTGTTGAAATTGAAAGAAGACCATGACTTAGTCAATGTGACTGCTTCCTCTACCGCGTTATCTTACCCTCCAAAAAGTTTTAAATATTTGTCGGACGGTAAGAAGCATACATTCAGTGCAGCATCATTTAACATGTTCTTATAGGCTTATTCTATTTTATCATATCGATCAACTATCTAGAAAGTGATAAGAAACGTGTTTGTCATGGAGAAAGTCTAGTTTAATCTATGATTTGGCCAATATGTCAACACACGGAAAAATTGAGACGCACTTAAATTCTGTGATTGGAGATTGTATTGCGGACGTCGCATTCAAAAATATTTTACTATCATTTGAGAAATAAATTTGCCTATTTGTCAAATTTTCCATAATTATAGGTAATTTTACTTATCTTCCATATTATTATTTAATTAAAACGAATTTATATCAATAATATAATTCTTATGTATTATTATGTTATTATCTTAAAAATATATTTTCTATTATAACATTTAAGAATTTGCTGATCTTTCAAATTTTCCATGATTTTAGTTGATTTTCCTTATTTACCAATTTTAATCATTTATATATATATTATTATATTATTAAAAATAATTTATATTAATAAAATAATTTTTTTTTAAAAAAATAAGATAATTCATATGTATTATGGTGCTATCTTGATTTCCTACTATAAAATTAAAAAATAAGATATGAAATTATTGTTAGTGAATTTTATGATTTATCAACTTTTCCATGATTTTAGGTAATTTTGCTTATCTATCATGTTTTAATAATTTTATATAATTTGTTCTATAATTAAAACACATTTATAACAATATATTTTTAGAAAATAAGATAATTCTTATGTATTGTATTGTTATCTTGAAATATATTTTATAATTTAAGAATTTGCTAATTTGTCAATTTCTCCATGATTTTAGCTGATTTTCCTTATTTACCATGTTTTTAATAATTGTTTAATATTTTATTATAATTAAAGTTAACTTACGTTAATAAAATTATTTTTTTTCAAAATAAGATAATTCTTATGTATTATGTTGTTATCTTGAAAATATATTTATAATATAAAATTTAAAAATTAAAATTAATATAAATAAACATAGATTTTATACAAATGTTTATACGTGAGTGTTGTCATTTATAATTAATTTGATGTTTTATTTAACCTTTTTGAAAATATAATAACTTATTTTGCTGATTTTTGGATTAATATAACATAATTAATAAATATTCGTAAGAAAATTATGTTGGTATACAAAACACCTAGTTGGAGATTGTATTACGGACGTCGCATTCAAAAATATTGTATAATCTTTGATCTTTTCAACGAAGATATTGAAATCAAAAGCCATTTCTAATAAAAAAAAATTGAAATCAACATAGAATCTAAAAAAAAATATACGTGCCATCTCTCTCTCTCCTCTCAGTAATGTGTGTGTCAGTGTCTATATATGTAGATATCACAAACAGATCCGATATCACAAGAAGAAGTACAACCCTAATTAGGTAAACAAAAATAAGTATTTGATATAAATATATGTCAGCTTATATTTAAAAACGCTCCACTACAAATTTTTATATTAAAACGATGGAGGAGATGATGTCAGTGATCTTCAACGGAATTAATCTGGTTAAGGAGCTCGAATTCAGCTTATCAACACAAGAGTCATTAGAATCTCTCTCTAATTCTCTCGGTTCAATCTCCACTCTGTTCGGAGACGCCAACGAACGGTTAAAAATCCTACTTGGGAGGAGGAACGCTTTGATACTGAATCAGCCTGAATCAAAACCAGTTCCAGTGTCCAGCTTGGACCAGGTGATGATACATCAGATTGTTGAACATGGTCTGATGGATGACTACAAATTAGGGCAGGGAGTGATGCAAGGCGTGAAGAGTATTGATTCTAAGACTTCAAGGCCTCGAAGAAGGTACGTAAAAGATTAAACTTTCGATCTTTTACGTTGTAATGGAAGAAACACATAGAACATTCTAAGACTTCGAGTGATTACTTGGTACGCAACAGAGTAGAAAAGAGCATATAAATTTTGTACTATTTTTTTTGTTTGGTATGCTTCGTATATTCTAATGCTTAAGTAATAAACATGCAGAATATAAGCCTATGTTTTTTGGGGTGTAAACTTTAAAATGTACAAGTTTATGTTGTATATACGTATAGACATAAATATATACATATATAAATTATGAACATGTTAATATTGAGATATATTATAAATCATATTCAATATATACGTATGTATATAGAAAGAAGGATGGAGAAATAGAAACGGTGTTGGTGGCGGCGGCGAGGATGGGAAACATGGACACTCCTCCGGATGACAACTACACTTGGCGTAAATATGGCCAGAAGGAAATTCTTGGTTCTAAATTTCCTCGGTAATTATATTCATTAACTGAAAATGATTTTATTTTATCTTTTGAATTTAGTTTTGTTAGGAAAATTTTGAATCCATTTTTGCCAGTACTCAATATAGAGGAAACTTGAACATGCGACCGTTTGGTTGGTTAACTAACGAATTTATTTTCTCATGTTCGTAAGACGTCAGGATTTATAATTCGTACGAGGGCGGACATTTTGATTAGTTGTTTTAACAAAAATATATATTATAATGTTTAACCAGTCTAGAACCAAAATTTAGGGCGTACTATAGGTGCACCCACGAGAAACTATACAAGTGTCCGGCGAAGAAGCAAGTGCAACGGCTCGACGAAGATCCTTACACGTTCTGCGTCACGTACCGTAGTTCACACACGTGTCACTTCTTCACCACTTCCCCTATCTCATCAACAGCCGCCACCGAAACAACAGACGGTCATTACGGCTCCACCGTAGTTAACATGGCCGAAGCTTTATTCGGCAACATCGACTCGGTTAATCCTTTTGGTGAGCCCTAATTTAACTACCATAGCCTCTTTCACGGAAGCGGCGGAGATGGGGATACGTGATGCAAACACACGTTTTTTTACGAGTTAGGCATGCATGTGCATTGTGTTCAAATCATTAATTTTAAGTTTTAGATGTTTCAACGTTCTTTTTCCCAGTTATGTTTATCGATGCATTTTGTAAATTAGCTACCGAATAATATGTTATTTGCATCCGAAGCGATAACAAAAACTGTCAACAACATCTGACCATTATCAAAACGATTACTTGTACAATATAAACACATTAAGAATATTTGATTGTAGTTGCTGGTTACTTTTCCCATTGTTGACTGGCAAACGATATCTATTCTTTAATAAGATTAGCTGGTGACTCTTCAAACGTGATTTTTCTAAAGAATAAGTGATGTCCTCATAGCGAGAAAAGCTTCTTCCATTTTTTTTGTTTCTTCTCTCCAGCGTTCTTCTAAATCGTGGAGTTTATATTTTTGACTTTTATAGTTTTTAGGATCGAAATATTAACAGTACTGACAACATGAGTTTCATAGTTGAAGATTCTCTATATTAATGATATTGAGTTTCAACATGAGTTCTATAGCTGCAAGTAACATACTTTTTTTCTACATTAAAACTTGAATTTGAGTTTTCTCTGAGTATATATATGTATGACTTTACTTTCAACATATTATATGAATTTGAGTTGTTGACCTTTTTTAACAGATTCATTTTGATAATTTATACATGCAAATTGAATAATAATAAAATTAGATGAAAAAACAAAACTATATCTGCCTTTTATGTTCATAGATAGGATGAAACACGAAATTCCATACATATACAAATTTTCTATAGAAAAATACAGTTTTTAACTGATAAAATGTATATATTTACTATGAAGATTAAATATGTGATTTCCCAGTTAAAATTTCTTACTAAATATATGTGTAGTAAGAAATTCATTATAATTCAGTACATACTAGATTAAGGTTTCAAATTTAGTTTCCATCTTGCTCAAAATGTGAAAAATCAAGAAAAAGACAAACAAGTTTTTCATCATAAAGTTCATTATAGTTTTGTCTAATAATGAATGTTGTTGTCTCCTCAATTCTACCAATGTTACCCCCTATTTAATGCATCAATATATATATATATATATATATATATATATATGTAGATATTCATGGAGGTTTATGCATATAGATATATAGCTTGACTGATTAAATTATGAATTTTATTGCTAAAGCGAATTAGGAAACAGATGCATATATAAATTAAAGTATGTTTGCATACCAGTCATGATGAATTGGAGATGCAATTGTATAACTATGAGGCATAAAAGTGAGGAGTTAGTTTGGGCTTTAAGACAAGTATTGATTGACTGTAGCTATAACATGATCTTTCTTTTTCAAACATGAGATTCTTAATTTTAGTAACATGAAGGGGAAAAACAGAGTGGTGCCATACTAATAGTGTATTAAGATGTTTTTCTCTTTATATTGTCTTTTATAAATGTAAAAATGGTAAATGTTAGATTCTGGTTTATTATGGGATTCCAACTTAAAATTAATTGGTGATTAGTGGGTTGACACTAATTCTTTATATATTATTTAAGGTCTCATTGAATTCTTGATGTGAGATATATTATTCCTAATACCCCTCTTCGAGATGATGGTTTTTACCAGCCAGAAATTTTGAAACTTTAAGACATTTATACTTGGTCGAGCGAGTCAAATACGACAATTATACTTAGTCAGAAGGTTAAACACGACTTTTATACCCGGTCGGGAGGGTTAATTAATTAATTAGGAATTTAGGATTTTTAAGATCTGCGCTCTGATACAATGTTAGTGATGGGTCTTACACACACTCAAAACTAGCCTAAGAGTGGAGGATTGTCTATACACATATATATTTCCCAAAAGCCTCATGTTTACACGATGTGAGACATTTAATAGCTCTTCTCGAGATGTGGGTGGGAAACGGTCCACAGGGAAACAACCCAAAATCTCGGAAATACCACAACAGTATAAGCCACTTTTACAGGCTACATAGGTAAGAAACTGTTTATGTGAGAAATCATATACTGGTCCAAACCTGGCTCTGATACCATATTAGTGATATGGTGGGCCGGAATATATGTACCTTACAGACTAAGATTATAAATTTCGTGAAATCTATGAAGACTAAAAGGAAAGACTTGAAGATCAAGTTAATCTCGATATTCTTAGCATATTTACATTAAGTGTTTAGGAAAGTTATCAGTATCTAGTGTTAACAATATATTAATGTTACCAGTATATATATATATATATATATATATATATATATATATATATATGCATCTTGTATTATCATATCATACACAACACAATAATATATCACATTATATTCTACTTTACTTGATATCAGAACAAACGATTCTTAGGGATCAAAATTAAGCTTCCGCATTTTAAGTTTAAACTTTGAAGATGCTTACCATCGGTAATGTTGATGATGGCAAAGAAGATGGTGACGATGATCAAGATGAAGATGTCAAATAATACATCAAGATCTCCCTCGTTATTTAGTTACTTCTCAATAATATTATTAGGGTTTTGTTTCATATGTCAAAAGGATTTTTTTCTTCTCTTTTCTAGTATTGGTTTTGGTTTGGTGAGTGCAAGATTTATTAAAAGTAATAGTGGGTTTCATGGATTAGTTAATTGTTTGTGAGATTTATTATGTTGTTTAAAATGTCTCAAATATTGTGTTTTCATTTTTCATAGTTTGGAGAACTTGCTGGTTATAGTTTAGCCATCACAGGAGAGTTTTAGTTATGCTCATGTTTTTAGGTCTGTGTTTTTTTAGTCCGTGTTGTGGATTATCCAAGTCAAGGATAACTGTTTATGGAGCTGCAGTTGTGTTCCCGAGATGTATTCTCATTATCAAGATCAAAAGAAGAGCTGAAGTTTTCATTCCCTTGTCTAAGTTGAAGTATATACCTGGAGGAAGTTATTGTTTTTTTTTCCTTGACATAGTGTCTGTCCACGACATACGTGTTCTGTTTTGTGATTTGCTGTGCGTTGTACATCCCATGTTTATCGTGCAGGAGAGTATTAGAGATATGTTGGGTTGGAAGATATGTATCTTACGTACTAAGATTATGAAGCCTGTGAAATCCATAAAGACTAAAAGGAAAGATTGAAAATCAAATTAATCTCAAAGTATTTTTAACATATTTACATTAAGTATTTAGGAAAGTTAGCATTATCTAGTATTAACAATATATAAATTTTACCAGTGTATATATGCATCTTGTATTTTTATATCAAACTCAACATAGTAATATATCAGTAAAAGATATCAAACCGTCTTATTCTTTGCATAACTTGGAAGTATCTTAACCATCTTACAATTTTTAATGAGTTCCATGAAAAACAATTCCGAAAAACAAATAGTAAATGACTAATTCATCCAGTTGTACATATATATCTCTATTATTAAAAGAGAAGTACCCACTAAAAAATACCCCTAAGTTTTCCAACTTATTTACACTCATATGCCACTGAGAATTTAATTAAACTTCCTATTTAAATGTTTGTCTTTTTCAGTTATATTAATTAAACGTCCTATTTAAATGCTTGTCTTTTTCAGTTATATTAATGAGTTATTTAATCAACCAAAAAATACCTGCATCACTAACATGTCTTTTTCACGTATATTAATGATAAATCATTTACTGCATCACTAACATCATTGATATATTACATGCATCTAAAATGTGTATCAATAAAACGTGCATCACTAATATAATATAGAGAAATATAATATTAACTAACACACAATATAACATGTGCATGTATTAACTATATTGGTTTATATAATGTATTCTACGGTATAATAACGTCACTGTTAAAAAGTAATATAGAGATAACTCTAATTTCAATATCAAATCG